TTTGTTATCTGCTGATTGATCTTGTAGTTTGGTTGAAATTTACCTGCTAATGGATAACGCAATAGAAATATGTAATGATTTCAGTGGTGTAATAAAGACGATGCGGAAATATATGATTTAAAACTCAATAACATTTTATTGTTTTTATCGCCGTTTTGCATCAAACGTATAGGTTAATCGTGTTTACCCGGCCAATGCCTTTGGGGAGATTCGTAACTGGCCACTATACTCATGATTTTGTATGAACCATTGTAACAAGATACTTTTAAGTGAATCGTCTCGAATTATAGATTAGCTACTTCTAGCGGTAGGTTAATATTCAAATAAGATAAATAAACAATGACTTTAAGGCATAGCTTATGCTAATACATTTACTATTGTGTACTTCAACAGCAATACATTGTATTAGTTGATTTACTCGACATATTAAATCCATTAATTTTCATATTATTTTGAAAGAGTGATTTTTAGCAAATGGTAAAGAATGGAATTTAGGATTACCTCCAAATTTAAAAAATGCGGTAGGAACTAACTGTATATAAAATTTTGTGTTCTGATGTCGTCTTATACAAACCAAAATTTCTAAAAACGTTAAACTCAATTTATCCGATTTAAAAAGTGTAATTCGGCTTGATATAGATTTATCCTAATTGTAGTATGTTCAACGTTGTCAAATCTAAGTGTTTGCAAGTTTACTAAAAGTATTTAGTTACAGCTCGGTAAACAAGAATAGCAGTGGTCATCGGACATGCAGTTACAGGTCGCGATTGGTTTTACACTAGTAAAATCTCATATTTTCTGTTTCAGAAAATACAAGATAATTAGCTGAGAGTAAAGGATTATGTTCTCATTTTATAACTTTGTGAAATCAACTAATAGGACTACACACAGGTGTCAGAGTTTACGGTAAGTTTTTTATAATATTTCATATAGAGCTGGAAGGGGGTTGGGTGGTGTGTAAGGGAAATCAAGAGGCGGTAGTTGTATGTGTTATTCAGACACTTATTAGCTCTTGCTTATTCCAATTCAGTTTCTCGTCCGTGGTTAAATCGTGAAAAGAATACTGTGACGCCAATATCCAATTCAAGCCAAACATATCACCGATAGTGCCTACAGATATATTTTTCGAAAACAAACTATTATGGGTCTTGCTATCGTATATCGTTAGACCTGCCAAAAAGATATATATTTTGATCGAACGAAGTAACATGCTACCTTTGATCCATGAGGATGTTTCCGTGGATAAAAATGAATTTGATAAGGTGAACATCGTTCCAAACAGATTAATTACTTTTAGTGCTTTTGGTACATGGTTTTATGTATTTCTCCCGAATCTAATGTTACCGAGCATTACAAGGATTGGAAACATTGAATCAATTCGCTCTCCTTTCTTTCAGTCCCTACTAGTACTACTTCTGGTTGGGGAGAGTTATTCGGTGGAGTTCTTCTGTCAGTTGTTTCTTTATATTGAAGAGTGACGTGCTCTTAAGATTTCATCTGTATCTTCTGTGATTCGTCTTGACGATCTATCGTTGACTAAAGCCACATTGATCGCCACATCTACATGTCCTTAATCACCAATAATTATTTAAGACTGAATATAGATATTTAGATCCGATAAACAAAATCAGTCCCAATTGGATACTAACTGTAAATAGTACATGTATATTTCAACATATTGGTATTCATTGTAGTATTATAATTGTTCTATCATTAATTGTTCATTAGTGTCACAATGACATTTAAGTCACTAAGCTTGCTCGGAATTTCGTTGGGGTTCGATCCAGCGTAGGTCGATGAAGTACCTCTCAGCTCATCTACCTCTGTCAGGCAGGTCTGAAAGCTTCTAGATATGGTACAATGTGCTAACAAGGTGCGCTCACAATATGTTGTCTGCAGTAAATACCGATTACATTTTTTAAATTTATAACACACGTCGATCTAGTCAAACTTTTTATAAAACAATACGAACGCCACATTTCCATCCGTTCCCAGTGGTGTCACAAAATCGTATAACAATTTGCTCTAATACACAATCATATTCAAATTGCTCTCTAAGCGTTATTCATCTATGAATATGTAAATAATCTTAAAATTAAAACAAGTTATATGTTTATCTAATGTCTATTATTATATTACAGTTTATCTTATTTATACCCGACAATTTACATTATATATAGGCAGTATATAAACGTCCGTTTAAAAACTGTTTCCTTACAATATTTGACAGATTTAAAACATAATCTTATACATATGCGTTTTATATATCGTTTAAAACACGAGAATTTTAACGTAAGACCATACCATAGATGTTCTTATTCAGCCCTTTACAGGTAAGATTTTATTTGATTTGAGTTATTCGTATTACGTTTTCAATAGACAGGAGAGTGTACGTAATCGGTATACGTGATCCAGTACGGCATTCGGTGATGGTGACGTGTAGACACGTTGTATGACTTGACATTTTCGAGTTTTTTGATGTACGTGCCTTAGCTTGACATATCTTATACGACGATCACCGCCATTTTTCTTTGGGTATGCAGTTCATTTCGCCTGGTTTCAAATCTTATGTAGCATATTCACTTAAACTACTATTGCATTTGTTAGCTGATAAAAATCCTATATTTCGTAGGAATTATCTCTCGATTGTCCTATAATAAACTTCAAATGGAAAAAAGACATTGTTAGGACATTGTCTTGATATTTAAATGGACTTGATAAACGCATTGTATATCGTCGATTTAGCAAATCAATTGAACTATTTTAAGTGTCTGGTTTTCTACAACAGTCTAAGAGTAAGACTAATCAACTGGAAATTTTTGCCAATTAGTGTAGCATTGAGGAGTACGCCCCTCGAAGCAAAATGCCTCCTCGGGATAACTCTGAGGTTAATCATCAGATGGCGTTTTTATCCGTCTTCGTTAATCACGTAATCCCCACCAACACCCAACCATATTTGTAGCTAGTAGCTAATTTGAAGGCCTGCTGAAATTATTACTGATAATGAAACGTTTGTTAAAACCAGTTTTCGTATTTGGAGTGTGTGTTGCAAGTTTTGATTATTGCAATTTTATTCGAAAACAATATTTATGTCTGGTTTTGAGACATTAGTGTCCTTGAGACTTTTCAGCCTCACTTGTTTTTACTTTTTACTATGTCTTGTTTACCTGTTTACAAAATAATTTGGGCTTTGTGGTATGTCACCCTCTCAATATCATCAGGGCGAGACGTCTCGCACTTAACGTTTTAACTGATGCCCTTTCATATTCAAAATAAGTAAATTCGTTGCTATATAAAGTCACTGTTAATAGATAATTATTTACTTAACTGAGGTTTACATATACGTCATTATAATTCCCACTTTTATATTCTTCCAAATCGAGTTCTTAGGGGTACGTATTCCCCTACTACATTACTAGTGGTCTGCCTACCAACGCTAAATATTTTGCTAAATGTTGCCTGTTTGATTCAAACAATGTCCATACTATCTTGGCATTCATGTAAATAGTAGGTTTTCCACCACAGGAACATGTCCCCAAATATGAATTCTTCTTGTAAGAATTTGTTCTCAATACTACCCGAGACCGTGGCAACTAGTTTCTCTTTTGATATCTAGGGACATCGTTTTAGTGCAAAATACGATTTGGGACACATACAAAAACAGGTTGAAAACCACTAATATAAGTGATGTATGGTCTTACTTTTATGCTTGATTTTAGGTTATGAATTGCATTGTGTAAGGCAGCGGTATACAGCCTTGAATAGACGATGTACAGTGTCTGGTGCGGTGTACGTTGTGGGATCATCGATACAGAAGAAAGTGAACACGCGATGTACGGACACGATGAGGATTCGCTTCTACTACTTTCTATTGTATCGATAATCCCACATCTTACACCGCACCGGAAATCGTACATCGTCTATTCGCATCTTTAGTTTGAATTTCAAACTTCCGAAGAAGTTTTCACAACTAAATAGTCACTGTTATACGTTCGTCGAACCTGCTCTAGAAATATATTCAGTTTACATGACTGAAATATATGAGTCAACAGTCACGAAGCTAACAATAAACACGGTTAATATGAAACGATATAATCGGATCTTTATCATTTCATAATCTGACTATATTACCTCTGATCCTATCTCTATTGACAACTGACGAACATCTCGTGTGCTTCTGTTCCTGGTTGGGGGTTGATTTTATTATGATGAAATATTTCCTCAGAAATTAATTTCGTAGGATTTTGAGCTTCTAACTTTCTATGATGTTCACTTTGTATTTTCTTTGTCTTTCTCATCTAAGCGGATAACGGATTTTTTGCGTCATATCCCATAGCTGAGATCCATATTACAGTAATGAGATTATGGTTCAGTTTCCTAAAATACACTTTAAACCTGCTGGTTACGTCATTCTCCACTTGCATGGCTTAGAATACGTAATTTACAATGGTTTTCTGCCGGGGAGGCAGTGAATCAATGAGTTAAGACACTTATTTTCTAATCTTGGTTCTACCTAACATAGATCGAGATGATATAATCGGAGTTTTCAACCCGATATCCCGATATAATGCTGGTCGGAGGAGCTGTCATGGAAAAACACCAACACAGGAACACCAAATCCAAGCCCACATGTGCGCGTTAACTATACTACGACAGCTGGTAATCGAAATGGAGTAGGCTAATTCTGCATGACGTCGACCGCTTTCATTAGCCTTATCAGGTACAGAAATGAAGGACACAAAACTCTGCTTCGTGTATATTCAATAGAAACTTTCTTAACGGTAGACCAATACCTTGTAAATATACAAAACATGGCTCTTCTATCCAATTTTATATCATTAGCAATAATTCTGGCTTTCGATATCGATCAGTAAATAATGATAGTTATTTGATTTCGGTCTTGATTTGGACTGATGTTTTTAGTTATTATATTCAGTCTGTTTGATCTAAAGTAGCACTAATTTAAAAGAGAACCGAGCCCGCTCTTCAAAGACAGTAAAATGCCAAATCAAAGGATATCTTATCTTACGTATTGTTTTAAAGTTAGACCTCGTCCGTAAGTAAAATTTCAGTTTTTATGAACTTTTTAGTACCAAACTTTTGCTGTTGCGGACCCTTACCAAGCCTCTGATATCTTTGATGGTAATCTGCAAACGCAAGGTTTTATTAGGATTTACCACAGCAATTTTGAATCTGTTTGAAAGATGATATAAACAACGTTTAGTCAACGTACAGCTATTGCACCGAGCTTTGTGCTCTCGGGAAAGGATATAAGAACATAAATCATTTGTGACAACCTTTTGATCAACAATAATGTTTTTGGCCTCTGTGCTTCTGTGGACCGATATGGTGACTTTATATCTCATGATTTTGAACTGTGTCTGCATTTCTTCTTGTCCAAGACAAATATCATGACTATCAATGCAATATTCCTTACTTTCTTTTGACCTCTTTATTCATGCAATTGTTAATAAATTTCTGATCAACGCAACGCAATATTGTTTAACTCTGCACCTCTTCATTACTGCCATCCCGCCAAGAAGTGTTTCTGTGACCTTATTTAGTGACGACCTATCGACCAACGTAACTTTATTAAACTGTTTCTCCTAACTCAGTCGTGCATTGATTTATTATTATAATTATTTAAAATATAACAATAACAACTCTACATGTCCATTGTTTATTTCATTGATCTCAAAGTTGGTCTCCTTTTTCTTAATTCGAGTCTACAGCTTTCTTGGTTAACTCAGAGACCTTATTTTTCGATACAAGAATTGGATACTTTCGAGATGGACGTCGGAAATTCGATAGTAATGAAGGATATATGAAATGTGTTTTAAAGCAACATGTTTCGAAGATTTTCGTTAACTGCAAGGTATGGAGTTATTTTACATTGATTTACTTTAACTCTTGTTTTCATTTCTCCCTAGTGAGAAATTCGCATTAGTTTTATTTTAAGTCGCCTTTTCTGCTTACTGTACATACAATTTTAACAGTGTTGGTGATAGGCCATGTAAAACTCGATATTTTGAGTGGAAACCTTCAGAATAAGTAGGAAATATTTCTTTACTTGGTGATCATTAGGATAAAATCCGTACATTAGTCTTCCATACCCCAACAAAACACAGTTTGATTAAACGTAAATAGTTTTGTCGTTCTAAATATTATGTTCAAAGTTAAAAAAAAGGCCATTTTTCTTTCGATTTTCATTGAATTAACACCACACTTTTCCAACCTACTTAAAAAATCAGATTGTCCCATAAATATCATATAAATTGGGCCATGGCACCCCAACTGGGCCCGTGATACGTCTTATTTCAAAGTGAAAATCTAATTGGGGGGAGGGGCGGGGTATCGCTTCGGAGAGACACCTCATATTTGGGCCCCCCTCCTGATATTATCTATATACGCCCTGAATATTCCTTGTACCAAATAGATAGGATATTTAAAACATATGTGTGAACTTCCGTTGCTTGCCAGTTTTCCAGTTGATGGTTTTGGATAATTAGAACTGGTATATTAGTTTAGTTCTTTAATTACAGTCAGATACATATTATTGTAGTTGTTACAGCCCTCAATAAACATCATCAGGTAATTAGTCCAGATAGATTTGAAAATCACCACAAGGTGAGTCCGATACCGATACATTTTTGGACGGTTGTTTTTGTATTGAAGAGGTTGAAAAGAATGTTGATCCTGTCAATTATATCTTGTTGTCTTGATTGAATTGGTGAAGCGAATTGTTTATTTATATTAGATAATCATACAATAAACAAAGTAAATACTTCATATCTTGATGTTTTGGGATTTAAGGTATACATGTTTTACACCTGTTCTCGGATTTAAACCATTTAATTATATTTTGAAATTTCGAGCAAGTTATTCCTGCACCTGTGGCCCCGATTCAGATTCTAATTGGATTTAATCGTACATATACTTCCAAATTGTGGTGATAGGTATAGATTTTAGACATGACATACACCGCGATCTCTAAAAGAAACAATGTCCAAGCCAGGCTGTATTCTTACCGGTAGGGTTCCAGTCATTGCTGTGATCACCTTCGATAATGACCATAAAACACATTGCTGCCACAATCGTATACTTGGTTCGGTTTTTGATGAACGTATCAGGGCGTAACAGTTACCCCAATTTCGCAGTGATCGTGTCAGATTGAGGCACAGTCGTGAACTGATTCGAAACAATCCTATCGGAAGGTTGTATCAGATCGTGATACCTGGATGGACAATCGTGAACAACTCGCACCAGAACGTATCGAATCATATCAGCTCGTATCCTCAGATTTTATAAGAATTCCCTGATCAACTACACTGCCGAATCATGGATGGTTAGAAATAATGTCAAATAATGCGAGGTTCACACTGCCTCGTGATCCGTTTTCACGTTTGGCCATTCGTAGCTGATCGTGGAATTTCTTTCTTTGATACGAGTCCTTATGTTTTGAAACGAATTTTTGCGCTCATATACGATCTGTTCACGAGTTTTCAATACTCATTGTCAAGGCATTATCCTCGGGTTAGATACCGTCATGTACGATTGTTTCGTTTGAGTCCTCGATTGGTTCTCGATCTGACACAATCACCACGAACGAGTTCCCCGAATCGGCACTATTGGTAAGTGGATTTTTTCTATGTTCCCATTGATTTGCAGCATTATTGCAATGCAGTCTTAATTGTGGACTAATCGCGGTGATCCTATTAGGTCATGAAGGCAGTCGTGGCAAGCATGTTAATCGTAAAAACCTTCTGAACAGTTCAACAACACGATCAATTGGCAATGGTATTAGATCAGATAATCATAACAAAGCACGACTGATTGCATCTAATCAAGCATCCATATCTTGATGATCGGGGTCGTTCTAAGCGAAGACAAATCTCCAATCGGAGACCTAATAGAAACAATCTTATCATATCATTTTCAAATCGTGAACAGATCGCCAACCAATCGTATCCAAATACAGAAATATCAATCTTGTCTTAAGATTTCTCCAGATCAACACGATAAAGAAGCACATATGGATGCTACCCATCTAGCTTCGTGATGCAGTACGATCTGACACGATGATCTCGATTGACAAATGATCGCGTTGTACGTAGAAAATATTTGAGCCCTTCAAAAACGATTGCCGCGACCGACCTCCAGATCTGATAGTGATAGGATAATCATGATTTGTCAACAATTTCAATCGTGCCACGAATCGTGCTTATGGGAGCTCAGCATAAACATTTTCAAATTTAAAAAAGTAGTGAGAAGTGAATTAAATTCTTAAAAATATACATGTAGCGACAGCAATGTTTGAGAAAAGAGACAACCCTTGCCGTACGCAAAGAAAATACGTCAATTAAGCATATATTAACGCTGTTGATTGCTAGAAGAACAAAATAAGTTAAGGTGTTATAAAATTATTTATTACCTAGCAACTTAATTACCATACAGTTGGTATTTATTGGCATCGAAGAAGCGTTTAAATTATTCCAGTCCGTTGATCAAAGCATTTTAACATAACATTTGAATCACAGAAGAGTTCGACATGACTATTATTCATAATGTTAATACGTTGTATAGAAAAGCTCTGTATAGATTGAGAAATTTAAGATACAGGTACGAAATATTTGATATTTTTTAAATATATTGTTTTAAATATTTTCTAAAAATCTGATTATACATTTTAGAAGTTACTTCAAAAAATGCCTGAGCGATAGTTCAGTCAATTAATAAGTTTACTATTAGAAATTGTAAATTTGTTTGTAAATTGCTCTACATTTTGTATTGAGTACTAATTAACTATGAACATATTTTGTCATTGTAATTTTATAAATACATGTATTGTGAGATCTAAAGAATGTTGATCTTTGACACTACAAAACCAACACGTAACGTGTGATTTCTGAATTTGTTAGCTGAGGATTTAGCAAGGAGAACAGTTTAAAAAAATTATCGATCTTAGTTATCTGTCAGTGCGGAATAGATAAGATAGATACGGATGCATAGATATTCCACGTCTCAGATTCATTGATTTTTAGAACGAGAAAACTAAGACTATTAATATTGCATATTTTCTTATAATATTGTAATGATTTTTGATTATAATACAATACATGTATTATATAACGCCATCTTGAAAGACGTCTTGAAGCCCCTTGTCGGCACTGATCGGTTGCTGATAATGGCCAATGATCTGACGAGATCTAACTCAAGTCATTTGTGGTGTTGTAGCGAATCCGAAGTCTTTCAATGGTTCTTACACTACAGTTAAAAGCATTAGCGATCACTTGGGTACGTTTTCCTGTATTTAATCGCCAGATGCCTTGTTCACGTTGTTGGGAGGTTAGACGTGTCATGCTTGCTGCCGTCACAAGGTAAGGTGGCAGGTGGTTTTATACAGAACCCTGGCAAATGTTGCACGTGCATCTAAATTTCCCCGTGAATCACCTGTGCAACTTGCTCTACGGGCATCTCAAAGTTTCAAAGGTCCATTACACCGAACACAACCGGTATTATCAGTTGAATGTCATAAATTGGCCTTTTTAAAGTCTTAAAATCATAGTTTTGATCATGCACGAGTATGTCCTAATAAACCAAAAATGCGATATTTCTTTATCTGTTCAGTATAATATTGTATATATGAATATTTATTGACTGTTATGGACAATGCAATGATTTCTTATTAAGCTGGACATAAACCCTTTAATACAACATTGATTTATTATTATATGTACACAACACAATAGATACATATATAAATATACAAGTGTCATGACTCGATTGGTCTCAATTGAAGTCACTTGTAAGAATTGTGCAATGGATAATGTTTATGTTTCTTTATTCAGATGTCGCTACTGTTTTTTTTTTTTCAAATGTGTAAGTAAGCAATATTGTAAATTAGTCGATGGAAAAATTAATAGGATACCTTAATTTGTTGGCGATTATGTTAGACTCCTATAACTGATACTAGATTTGAGGATTTTTAAGGGGCTTGGTAGAGCACTGTATGTAGCAAACCTTTTGTTATATTATGCCGGATGTTACAACTTCAACAATTGAAATGTAGCTATTGAAAATAAACCTTGAGGGGTTATTCGATGGAAAATAATTTGACGTACTGAATAAGTACCCAGTGTAAAATTTCAGACAAGACGTTGGAGCACTAAAAGTCTGGAAAGGTCCGATATGGCTAAGAGGAGGGGTGGTATATGGAAAGTGTTTGTTGTTGGTTGTCATCCCATTATTGAAGTCATCCCACTATTATTGAAATAAATACTGTTTTTACAAAAAAGAAGGAAATTTATACATGTTACAATATTGATGTACATTGATGTCTTACAAGTCAAATTCTTTTTTAAAATTTCAACCCTTGAGGCTTTGTATTGTTTCAATTAGATATAGTAGATACATTTTAAATAGCTGGCTACGTTAGAAAATATTTCTATTAGTCTCATAATTGGTCTGGTTTTGTGATCTTTTTGTGAGAAATTTTACAGCTGTTGAGACATGGTGAGTCAAGTTAATTAGGTCTGTTCTTATTGATGCATATTGTTAGGTATTTTTCAAAATACATATAGCGAAAGAGCAATGGCGTTTAACATTTTACGTGTTTGCAATACTATTCGTAGGATATTAAGGGTAGGTAGATGAAGTTAACATTCGCTTCCAGCGGATGATGATAACGCAAACTAGGTAGTTGTTGGTAGTCGCAGTAATTGGTTTGGTTCAAATTGGATGGTTCTGTGCAGTTGGTTTGGTAGTTGATACTTCGTGAGATCTGGTCGAGTCGAATGAAATGGCGATGAAACTCGGCCCTGGGTGGTGTGGCATGAGTTACTCGATCCTCTTCATTCTTCCAAACTCGCTGATCGTGGTTATTCTTGTTATTATTAATTGGTAGTCGAATGGTAGATATTATTTTATAGGAATTTTAAGAGGTTTTCAATCCATTGTATATCTTTCGACTACACTCATGGTATATATTTGCATTGTTTCTATTTACCGCCATCAAAGGATTCTACATTATTATTTCACTACCATCCATCAGTAAAATTTATTTATCTGGAATTAAGAGGACCAAACACGTAGGAATATTGCAGATGGAAGCCATAAGTGTTTCAGATACACCGAAAAGGCTTGAAAACCGCTTTTGGTCTCTTGACTCATGTGCCGCTTTTCCACATCGATACAGGCGATCAGAAAAAGGCGATTCTGTGTATGGTAGTCAGCACTCATTGAGACTAACAGTTACGGCATTTTAAAGTTATGACAATGAAGTGGTGATAGGCTATGACAATTGTTTCAGTAATCTGTCATAATTTAGTACGTTTATGACATATAACACTTTTTCACTGACTGTACTGAAAGATTGTGATTTACCTTATTTAAGTCATTCTTCATTAGCCCACATGGTGCAAGAAAGTAGGACGTCAAACTCCATTCATTTCATATTATAGAATGTTAACAAGAGTTCTTGGCGATAGTATATATTAATTAATTCAATGCTCTGATAGGGGTGGTTCTTATTATTTACGTTTTGATGGTACATTTTTTTGGTTTTCCAAATGTGGCGGGGATACTGGAATGGAAACTCCAAAGGTACTATCGCGACTTAAACTGGGGTAGACTACCGATCTTTAAGGTTTCATCTGTAACACGATTTTCTTCTATTTTCAGAAGAGGCCAATCAGTAATAGCAAGACGTGTAAGTATAATTTTGTTATATCTTTGATTTTTCAAGGGTTTATTTCCTCTTCACTCTATCCAAGCCACTTAGTCCTATGGTTATCACAAAATTGATAAAGAAAATTGGAAAAATGTTTTTTAAAGGGGACAGGTACGCCATTGTTTTTGACCAGTCATACTTCAATAGTCTCAGAAACGGGATTCTTTAAGCTGGGCTGATCAGTTATAGACTTCACAGCTCAATGTCGAAATTTAAATCTTCAAATCCACGTGTGTCCAAAATTATCCGCGTTTGAATTCTACAATGATGACTGTCATTTTAAGGTACACATTGATATATAGAAAAGACATAATATAATAGAAAAAATGAGTAAAATTCATAGTCAGAGATATTTTTGAAGGTATTATACGATTTCTAGTACTTCTGAAGACTATTTACAAATTTTCAAGACTCAAATCATCCCCCAAAATAACGCATCTGTCCCTTTAAAGTTGGCATATTATGTGATATGATTTTGATCATATTTCTGAACGTTTTTCGTTCTTTATCAGAAATTAATTGTTAATGTATATTGAAACCACATACAGTTTTAGCTTGTAGATTTTTTCACCATGATGTTATATTATAATATAAGTGATAAACCGAGATTTGGGATGAACGGCTTTGAGTTCTGTTATCATCAACTAGTATTCATACCTTAATATACGATATCTTCTGTGACTCTCTCAACATCAAAAAAAAAAAAACGTATTGGTCTCGATAGCAGAATCGGTTTGTCAATTTATTTCTAAACAAGTCTTTTTTTAGAATGGAATTGAAAAGCACGACATATTTATAATAATTGTTCTAATGTCACTTACCTCACTTAAATGACGAAAAAAAGAAATTATCAAAGCTTTTAATGGAAGTTATACGTACCTGAACGTTATCCTCGTTACAAGTGAGATCACAGTTTGTGTGCTATTAAGGTTTTCATAATAAACATGCGTCATTAATTATTTAGGCCTACTTGTTTGCTTTGTGGATAATAGCATCACATTTTTACTCACCTTTTAGTGTAATTTCTATTTGTGAATCGAGCATTTTAATTAATTCTCTTGTCTAAAGACATTTTATTTCAATTTTTACAATTTTTACCATGATCATAGTGTGCATTTTACTTCGGTATTCATCCCATTTAGTATTAATTTACATGATTCCTGCATAGGTCGAGCTCGTACCTTTGACGATGCATGTTTAAGGTCCCCGACATAGGAATTGAAAAGGAATAGGCATTAAAACGTAGAACCCAATCTCATTTTTCAAGTGAAGAAGTGTTCTAAAAAAGCTATGCCCTCTTTTTACCTAGCCTTAGGTATATTTTCCACTTGGTTGACTGAGTTTTGTAATAAAAATCTCAAGGGTCCACAACGTTAATATTGTTTTTTTATACATCGATTCGACGTCATAAACAATCTATCGCCGACATGCTTCTGGGCGGGAATTGGGTTATATTTATGTATTCGCTGCATTTACTCAATCGTAAAAAGAAATTGATTTTGCGGAGTAATTTGTTATAGAATTGATCGTTACACTATGAATGGTATGAATAAACATTGTGAACAGATGGCTATTATATTTCTAAAGATTTGTTCATTGTAACCAATATCAAACTCACTTAAAGGTACAATTACCTCTGATGGTTTTTCAAGATCCTTGATCAATTGCATTATCCTCCTTCCCCGTATTACTATATAGTGGTTTACCCTTAAATTAATCTGCAGCCATGGCGGAGAAAATAGGCTGACTGAATAGACTTAAAATATAATTGTCAAAAAAAAAAATTACTCCCAGGATGACAACCCCTGACATAACATAAGCAATATTAGCTAGGTGAACTCTCTGAATGGGATGTTGATTTGAAAATCCAGTAGCAGAGTGTTCTCTAGTAGAAATACTCAGAGGGTACGTGACCTGCCTCTGCGAGCTTAAATTCAATACAATTTGTTTGGACTGGACACAAGAGCTTATAACTGCTATCAAGATGGGTGACCTCTTGAACTGTCCTGTATAGCATTCGATATTTTCCGAAATCTTCCAAAATAATTTTCAACTTATTGGTAGTCTTCATTGTAATAACACTTCCTCTACACTGAACATTGAAAAAGCTTTGAATGAATTAGCAAGCTTTACAATTATTTCCAAATGGCTCAAAGGCTATGTTGACTATACTAAATTCACATGATAAACCAGTGGTGAATAGTTCAGAAGCTTAGTATCACCCTTACTCTGTGACAGTTTAGAGTTGATTTTTCAATTCACGCAAAACTGATTAGCAAAATGCAATTGTGAACGCATGGTGGTTTGGGAATTGAATGTACGTACTGTATTTATTAGAGGAGAGTACCTTTAAAGCATGATTGATTGTCTTCATTGGATTCAAAATAATATAACCGAATTCGGGTTTATTTCGCTTTTGGACCACCAAAAGACTTCAAGCATTTATTTGCTTGGTTAAAATACCTTGTGTTATTGGAAATAATAAATTCTTGGATAATTTAAATTTTAAATTATACTTTACCATATCAGGTTTGGTAGTTTCCAGCAGGTAATCATTCCAAATCAAAATATGTCTATGCAAGATACAAGTGAATTGTTTACTGACATAAAGTTTTGTTTTATCTGCGAAATGATATATTCCATAAAACTATAAAATGACGATATCACCTCAGTATTGTAATAAAAAAAGATTTCGAGCACGTCTTCACATAGATAGTTTGTTTTTGACTTGTGCCTCGCCTCAATTGGCGATTTACACTATCTCATCATAAGAGCTGCAATTAATTGGAAGGTCAAGGAGTCCGATAGGTCATGGCGACTGCCATATTGATCTAATCGAAGACATGAAATTTCAAAGCAATCTTTTCATGGTAGATCTGTTCGGTTTCTCAAAGCATGTGACCTTTTAATATTTCCTCTAACTGACTATGAATATTTATAAGAGCAATGATTTAATATCTCGTCAAATCATTAATCTGGATTTAATAAGGTTATTATCATGAATAATATTAAAGAGGTCTTCATATTTATAGATCATCATTGACGCTTAGTCTTGGTTAAAAATGATTACGTAATTCTTTTACAGTTTTGTTGAATGTTTACGTCCTTTTTTCTGTACCAACATGGAGGCAATGAAGATTTCTATAGTGAGGTTGTAGACGAAATAAATATCAAAAATACTCTTTAATTTAAAGGCAAACGTGTGCCAATCTTTTTGACCAATCATACTTTAGTCTCAGATGCGACTCCTCATTTTAAGATAATCTGTAATATAAAAAAAAGGAAAGACTTATATCTAGAAGTTGTGGGTAAAATTCTTAGTTTGAGATATTTTTGATGAAATTATGCGATTTTCGTACATTTTAGTATTTCTGAAGACTATTTACATATTTTCAAGACTCAAATCAACCCCCAAAATGGCATACCTGTCCCTTTTATATGACGTACGTCATGAGATAAGTAAAAAAAACATCAAAGCGACGTGAGTTACCTTGAGCCGCCTTATCTGCAGAGAAATTGGCGCCTGCAAACGCAAAATAACAACTATTGTAAGTATGTCCTTGAAATAGAGATTTCAATTCAAACTTGACATTGATCTGAAATACACAATTGATAAATATGTAAACAAAATAGACAGTACTAGCTAAGTGGACTCTCCTTATTCCGGGCAACTTAACAAACCCAATGGTAGAGTGGAATCAAGAGCACTCAAATTTTCTTATACTCATGTAAATTATTTGGATAAAGAAAAATAATGAAAAGGCACAATCGAAATCATTCCCCTATTACTATCGCTGTTGACACAAACAATAAATGGACAACAACATACACGTCAATCGGACTGTTTACAGTTAAAGGTTATTGATAAGTTGACCATTTTATCTGCAAAATCTAAAGCAAATTGACCATAAAAACTTTCTACTAAGTCTTACCTAAGGCAACAGATCGTTTACAATCTACAACAAAAGGCAGTGACCTAATATATAACCCTGTTTGATCCCCATACAGGATACGCCTTTGTTGTTGGCGTCTTGTTATTGAAATCTTATTGAAAAGATGCTCTGCATAATCAATCGATTTAAGTGTGTGTCTATGTCATTCGTCGTCCTTTAAACCTATTTTTATTGGTTTTCTCAAAAGGATTTTTGTGCATATTAGTGGAGGTGATATTTCGTAGTAAATAGTATTCTTTTTTACCAGAGTGCTAATTAACATGATGTGTTATTTGGATATACCTTGTGTTTATAAATGTTATATCTATGTGTATAATAATCAGAATTTGTAAAAACACATCAGATATACGCTTTTCATGAGGATTTCGTAAGGAGCATCATTTCGATGTGAAGCCAAAGTATTAAATTGCTATGGTAAATTTGGCTGCCATTAACCCTTATGTTTACAAATCTAGAAATGAATTTGCAGAATATAAACCCGTGTCTACCTGAGATTTTTTGAAACGTTTGTTACTTCGATTGTTTTGGAAGTTAATGTGTAATGTGCTATTAACATTGTATATAACACGACAATACAATGAAAGTAACATGAAAATTCTTATATACCTTTTGTGCTAAAAAATAATATACTTGCTTCGTTAGAGGAGTTATTATCTAAAGTTATTTCATGATACAAAATACTTTCTGTTTCCTGTTGTTGTAGATAGATTTGGAGAACGGAGGGTTTAATTTTTCCATATGTACAGGCTGGAACAAATAATTCATTGAGAAATTGGAATAAACGATCTGGAACTGCTCTGTATTTTTCTTGTGTTCTGATCTAAAATAGATAAAATAATATGATTTTGGTGTTTCTAAGTATATCATTGTAAAAGCTGTCTTGGATTTTCCATTTTGATTAATAGAGGGAGTAGGCCTTAACATTGTTGTATGAACTTCATTTTGAACAAGTTGTGGTTTGATTTGGAAGTTTAACTTGACTAGGAAGTGTCAGTTTGATTTCCATTCCAAGTTTTTTTCTAATGCGGGTAATTTTGCTCTGAGAAAAATATTACTTTACAAAATTGATATCTGTATCGGTCGTCGACTTTGAAAACAATTCATTTATGCTTCAAAGAGTTGCATCAGATTCTTGAAAAACATTTTGCTTGTGTCACTGCACAACGCTTATTTAAACGAGCCCTTCTTTATGAACGCCGGTAATATGTAGCGTAGGTAGCGCTCACACGTCGGAGAGAATAGGAAAGGTACTTAAGCTCGTGATAATGTAGAAGGCATTTGGCAAAAAAAGAATTTTAAAAATGTATTCATTATTGTCACATAACCAAAAGGAAATTATATCATTAAATTTTTCTTAATCCGCCATTTTCGTTTTATTTGATTAAATTTCTATGACAGATTCATAAGATCAATGTTCTGCATGGGATTAAATAGTTCATAAGATCAATGTTCTGCATGGGATTAAATAGTTCAGTTTTAGTTCAGTTTATGATCATCTTGAGATTTAAGTAGAATACAATTGTAACTAAATCTAACGACACAGAATATCTTGAGGACCCGAGTTATCATCAATGGCTCAAGAACTCAATTTCGTGGGATTGTGACATTAATCCTTGTTTAATGATTATTCCTTGGGTAAAACACCGATGTTACTGAAAACGTTTTTTATTCCTAAAGGAAGGATTTTGTACCAAAATATAATGTAATTGAACATATTTAACGGGTCAGTTTGAATATAATGATCCGGCCATTGATCGAATCGTCAACTATGTTATTAGCACACATTATATCGATAATAATTCGATGGTGTCGACCATAGAATTTTGCTTTTAACTGTGTCTTCCCTTTGTATGTGTATCCTTAAGGCTCCTAGAAGTCAAAACTTTTGCTGTGAATGATTTATATTGAGATGTGTATGGGCTAGAGACTAAGTTTTCCTTATTTTTCTTCAAATGATATACACTTAGAAATATTAAAATAATCTCCTTTGTCTCACATTTTAACGGTTAGTTTCTGGCCTTTTTGTTCTCGAGAATTGGATCTAATCAGTAATATGTATGAGAATTATTTTGTTGTGATCAAGTACAATATCAAGAGATTTGTGCGCATCCTCCGAGCTTAGTTTGCGGAATAAATTCGAGTCTAACCTTTCTACAAACGGATATCTCCGACATTTATGTTACCTAAAGGGATTGTAAAGAGGTTTTTTAAATTTTGATATACATTGATATATTATCCGTGTTTGAAGGGTCACGAAGGGTCTTATGAGATAAAGTATATTTTGCGATTAGTGACGTCACCAAACACTTAAATTTAGTGGAATTGCAAGAACCATTGATGGTATCAGTGTCCCCGATACACATAAAATAATTAGAAAAGCTCTTAACAGTCCCTTTAAGAGTCATTATCTCTTTCGTATCTTTTTAATGAGTGTTTCCACTTTTAATACGTCATCTTGTTTTGAACACAGCCAGTCTGTTAAGTAGTATCCATATCCGTTTGAATTACCTATTATTTAATGTTATAGAAGAGCATAATAGGTAATTAGAAAGTCTGTTAACAAGAGGCGTAATGTCTCGTCCCATCTCGAATATCAGGGTCTTTTACTTATACTTATCACAATGATTTAGAGGCTTTGATAATCGAGTCTATATGCCGGCAGGAATTATCAGTTTTCTTCCAATAATTATCTTAGAATAAACCTCTTCCGTATTGGAAAGAGTCACATTTTCCAATACACTATGTCGAAAGAGTGTAACAAGGGCCATAACCCTCCAGCATCTTAGTTCTTTTGTTATAACGATCAACTGTTTACTTTGTTATGTATTTCGCACCTGATCTCAGTTATATGAGTACATTTACATAAAAAAAGGATTTAATAATTCGCTTTGTGACTATATTATTATGATTGTCTTCGTGATTGTTACCATTAGTCTTGTGTGGTTTGGTGATGTCTTCATTGATTGGTGTAAGCAATTGTTTTTTCACAGATTTGTAAGTATCTTACTTTGCTGGTTAACTATTACTGATTTGAAAGTATGTTTTTGTTGTAAAATTGTTTGAGATGCTCATGAGTTCTTATGAAGCTGAATTGGCCATTGTATCATAGCAATCAGCCCTCCAAACAGTTTCACGATACATTTTCATACCATCACATTTGATGTCATTTCAAGATATTTTCAGAAAATTTTCCTTTCCTTCTGAATTCAGTTCTGGATTGATACTCTGGTTTCGTTCTGATTTCGAAATTTTGTCAGGTGTTAATTATTTTCCTCAAACTGTTGCTTGTAGTCCTGAAACATGATAAGACCGATCTTCCCAATATGCCGATTCGCCAACTTTGCCTAAATCCAACAAACAGTTTCTATAACTTCTGTTGTAACGAGTTTAGATAGTTCGTTATACAATTGTCTTTTTGCCCATATAAATGCAAATGATGTGGCTATCAGCGAGAGATTTAAACCAATAAATATTTGATGTCATAGAGATCTTTTATTGGTATTACACAGTGGTATATTACGAAAAATCACAATTTTGATTCAATTATATAACAGAGGGTAACGTCCAGACGACGACAGAAAGGTATTGATATCAATCGGTTTGTTACGTTACAAGTCTCAGATACTGTTTTTTGTGTAAGGTGTATATAAATCAGTTTGTAACGTTTCAAGTATCAGATACTAATAGCGTTGTTAGCTGTATATGAATCAGTTTGTAACGTTGCAAGTATCAGATACTAATAGCGTTGTTAGCTGTATATGAATCAGTTTGTATCATTGCAAGTATCAGATACTAATAGCGTTGTAAGGTGTAGATGAATTAGTTTGTTACTTTGCAGGTATCAGATACTGTCATTTTGGAAGGTGTATATGAATCATTTTGTTACGTTGTAAGTATCTGATACTGTTATCATTGTAAGGTGTATATGAATCAGTTTGTTACTTTGCAAGTATCAGATACTAATAGTGTTGTAAGCTGTATATGAATCAGTTGGTATCATTGCAAGTATCAGAAACTAATAGCGTTGTAAGCTATATATGAATCAGTTTTGATCATTGCAAGTATCAGATACTATTAGCGTCGTAAGCTGTATATAAATCAGTTTGAATCATTGCAAGTATCAGATACTGATAGCGTTGTAAGCAGTTTATGAATCAGTTTGTATCATTGCAAGTATCAGATACTAATAACGTTGTAAGCTGTATATAAATCAGTTTGTATCATTGCAAGTATCAGATACTAATAGCGCTGTAAGTTGTATATGAATCAGTCTGTATCATTGCAAGTATCAGATACTAATAGCGTTTTAAGCTGTATATGAATCAGTTTGTATCATTGCAAGTATCAGATACTAAAAGCGTTGTAAGCTGTATATGAATCAGTTTGTATCATTGCAAGTATCAGATACTAAAAGCGTTGTAAGCTGTATATGAATCAGTTTGTATCATTGCAAGTATCAGAAACTAATAGCGTTGTAAGCTGTATATGAATCAGTTTTGATCATTACAAGTATCAGATACTATTAGCGTCGTAAGCTGTATATAAAATAGGTTTGTATCATTGCAAGTATCAGATACTAATAGCGTTGTAAGCAGTTTATGAATCAGTTTGTATCATTGTAAGTATCAGATACTAATAACATTGTAAGCTGTATATAAATCAGTTGGTATCATTGCAAGTATCAGATACTTATAGCATTGTAAGCTATATATGAATCAGTTTATATCTTGAAAGTATCAGATACTAATAGCATTGTAAGCTGTATACGAATCAGTTTGTATCATTGCAAGTATCAGATACTAATAGCGTTGTAAGTTGTATATGAATCAGTTTGTATCATTGCAAGTATCAGATACTAATAGCGTTGTAAGCTGTATTTAAATCAGTTTGTAACATTGCAAGTATCAGATACTATAGCGTTGTAAGCTCTATATGAATCAGTTGGTATCATTGCAAGTATCAGATACTAATAGCGTTGTAAGCTGTATATAAATCCGTTTGTAACATTGCAAGTATCAGATACTAATAGCGTTGTAAGCTATATATGAATCAGTTGGTATCATTGCAACTATCAGATACTAATAGCGTTGTAAGCTGTATATAAATCAGTTTGTAACATTGCAAGTATCAGATACTAATAGCGTTGTAAGCAGTTTATGAATCAGTTTGTAACATTACAAGTATGAGATACTGTTATTATTGTAAGGTGTATATGAATCAGTTTGTTACTTTGCAAGTATCAGATACTAATAGCGCTGTAAGCAGTTTATGAATCAGTTTGTAACATTGCAAGTATCAGATACTAATAGCGCTGTAAGCAGTTTATGAATCAGTTTGTAACATTACAAGTATGAGATACTGTTATTATTGTAAGGTGTATATGAATCAGTTTGTTACTTTGCAAGTATCAGATACTGTTAGTGTTGTAAGGTGTTCAAGTTAATCAGCTTCGTAACTTGGTAGTATCAGATATCGTTCATGCTCCAAGGTGTATACGTTGATTAGGTTGATAACTTTGATTTCTATCAGATATTCTTCATGTCTAAAGTAGTCGATATATTAGTCAGTTTACTAGTATAATTATCAAATATAAAGTTAGTATTTTGAAAGTATCAAATGATTTTATGTTCCAAGTATTAAGCATCATCTTTCAAGCATCATAATTTTTTTTAATAGAACTGGTTCGCTGTTTCACAAAGGGTTTTAAAACGCAGTACAAAGAACTTTTTTCGAAACTTAAGTTGTGACATTTAAGAAACAATATTAGGCAACATTAATGTAACAATAAGTGAGAAGATTTCAATATGGATATCAAAATGCACAGAATAGGAGGTGGTTGGCATGTTAGTTCTGTAGGATTATTGAAGGTTCCTGGAACTACTGAAGTCATTGACACTGAATTGGAATTTTTTGTGAAAGATGGTGTTAAGGTAATGATATAAAGCCTACGTTTGAAATAAGATAAATAATGTTATTTATCTCATCCATTAAGTTTTTTTTTTTTCACTCAAATAATTATATTTTTTATGTTATTTCAAGATTACTTTGCTAATTATGAACTTTTTGTGTATTTCAGGCAAAAGTGTCCGACGATGATTCTGAGGGAAATTCAAGGTAAGTGGTACCTTTCCAATTTGCATTACTGAATACATTACTAGTACTATTGCCGTAGTCTGGATATGGTCAAGACGTTTGGATCCTACAAAACATACGTTTTTAGAAAAGAACTACCAAGTTCACAACCGAGGCATGCTCCTTAGATAGAGGTCTGAAATTAAGGCAAGAAAATGTACCTTCAGCTGCTCAATTTATGGTTTATCTCAGTCATCAAAACTCTCCGTGCAGCCTTTCACTTTTCACTTTTTTAGATAAATCAACTTATTTGATCTCTTTGCTTAAAGATGTGTTCCCTTATTTTCATTTTCGAAAATAGAATAGAATAGAAAGTAGAGGCGTTCTTATGACTTTGAAAAATGCCAGTTTGTCTTATATGTCCATAATTAATTCTTAATTAACTATATTAGAGGAGAAATTCAAGCAGAAAGATCAAAATGTCTTTGTTTTTTTTTTTTTTTTTTGTTTATCCAGTCTATACATACATGGACATTTATGATTGGTTAAAACTCTTAATCTTATTCAATAATAACATAATGATATGATTAAGAATACATGATCATTCATTAGAAACACCAATTAAGCTCATATAACAACTTGTTTGTTGGAAACGTTTTGATAATACATTGACGTTTCTTTCTGAAATAACGTCATTAGCTGAATTACAATTTTTTTTCAGTTCGCTTCACTCATTCAGTTACCATCGTTAAAAAATTAATAGATGAGATTTTGAAAGATTTTTTTTTTCAATTTGGTTTTCATCGCCACTGAATTCATTTCTGCGAATGGACAATTCATCAACCCTAACATGTTATGGAAATTGAGGAAGCCATAAAAAATAGAAATTTTGAAATTTGAATAAAAAATCCATTGAAATTTTAAAAAATATTCTTAATTCTCAAAATGATCATTTCTTGAGTCCAAAAGAGAGAGATATTTTAAGAGCGACAATTAATATGATATCTATCTTTTAAAATCTATATAGGTCTTAAATTATGAGCCATATAGATATAAAAAGACTATGTAAGATATATTTGGTGATAAAACACTAGCCGCTAGACAATAATGATGTAGAAGCTGAAATTATTTTCGATGACTGCCTCAGGCCATCCAAATGACATCAAGAAAATGTTCGATAAGGTCATATAGTCTAACATTTTTATTAAAGGAATACAGATGTTTATAATTGAAGTTGATATAATTGTAACATTCAGTGACCCAACTACCAAGGACTGCTTGAACCAAGACCACGGTCTCCCAAGCCAGAGAAAACAAACAAAATTAAACAATGTACCAAAGTATACAATTATAATCAAACTTAACAACCAGCAATGTATATTAATGGGTGAATTACCATTAACTACTGACTGAAAATCTTTAAATCTTCCATTAACAGACATTAAATTAACAGAATGCAGGAGAGCATAATGTTAAAAAAAATCCTGGAAGGTGGCCTCGACCCACTTAAGTCCAAGGGCACCCACTCGTCTAGTTCAGCTACTGGAAACATTTTGATCAACGAATCCATTCTACTTTCAAACATTAAAAAATACGATCATCTAATTTCTTAATTTTTGTATCAAATGAATACATGGTAACAGCATTAATATCGGATCGTGTCAATTTTGCATGAATACACAACATTAAATGACAGTAGAAAGACATGAAATCACCATTAAATGATCTTTTTAAAGACGTAAAATAAGAATACAGTAACAGTCGGAAATTTTACTTTCAGAGAATTGAAAAACTTAGCAATGCTGAAAATCGTGTCTGCAAACTTTTTTTTAAATTAAGTCATAATTTAGCTAGGATTGTCAAATTTCGGTTGTTAGTCTCAGAATTTAGAAAAAAAACATGTGCTGGGTCGCAAGGACATGAAAGTGTCCCTTTGTTAAAAATATCGAATATCATACATTTTTCGCCTTTAGAGGTTTTTATCGAATTGAGAAGAATCACTTAAAACCCCTGGAGGTACTTGAAAAGATACATAAGAAAAATATATTTTGACGAACAAATCGAATTCGTCATTATTTACCGATTTCAATGACCTCAGGGTGGAAGGCGGAATACCAGCAGCTTTAGAAGGTTTCAAAAGTTGGGAAGATTGCGAACCAGTGCTTTAAAGACAATTGCATGTGATATTTTAACATTTCAGTGATGAATCAGCTCCATCATCGTGTAAGAAATCAGAAGACCAGAAATCCAATTCAACACAAATAATAGTCAAAAATGAAGATAATGAAACTGTTACAACACCAAGTGTAGCCACTACCAACTTTCAAAATCTAGTTCATAAAGAACGGAAAATATCTAGGATTATTAAAAATATGAGGGTAAGTTTGGTATCTTTTTAACCCAGATGAAAATACTTGGTTTGGGCCCCACAAAGTTTTTCGTTTTGTTTGCACTGTGCCGAAAATTTAAAAGTGTCGAGAATTGCTTCAGAAAAGAACTTTAGGTTATTGGACTACCAAAAAAAACAGTGTTCTTTACTTGAGATTACTTCACTCTGATAAATAAAACCACTCTAGACAAATCAGATCAAATTCACCCTAGGTGTCTTAGACAAACCTGAAATAGGATTCTTGATCTGAAAAGTGATGCTAAAATGCTTTAAGTTTAGTATACTAATTACTTTTATATCGTATAAGTCATGCACACAAACAATAGTCGATTTTGTAGATAATCTGCTAGTCTATTTTGGTTAAAGAATTCCATTTGAATTATATCATTACTTACGAGAAAATCAATGATACTTTGATTGGTATGAAATTTGATTAGTACTCTCTTTGATATTCTAATTCAATGTTTAATTATGGATGATTTTTGATTCGTTATGGCTTCGTTATATATTAATGAGAATCGGTATGATAGCACTAATTAAGATTCTGATACATGCTTTAGATGTAATGTTTCTTTTGTCATTACGTGTGCTTTTGTTCTGATATCTGTGACTGGATTGTAAGAAACTGTGGAAGTCTTCTTTAAGCTGTGGTGGTAGGACTTGTTTTAAACTTATCGGTTTTAGTAGTCATTTAGGCACAAATATGGTAAGTACAGTACTTAAAGCACACTATTTTTAGGCATCTGGTCATTAAGGCATGGGTAATTTAGGCACAACATCTTTTTCAATTAGGCACATATTCATTTAGGTACAGATACAATGTGGAATTAAGGCAAATGTTATTTAGGCACAACTTCATTTTTCAATTAGGCACATATTCATTAGGCACAGATGCAATGTGCCGATTGGCTGTATTCGCTGACGTATAATCTAGTTAAATCACCGCGTTTACTTCCGTGATACAATGAAGCTGGCTATTGCAGTCAAGGTATTGAACACAGTTCGTAACAGCTTAACATTGTGAAGGCGAAGAATAATGGAATGTCGAGCATATGGTTATTAGGAGGAAATAATGTTTCTATTATTTCAGAGGCCTGTAATTTTTTTGAAAAAGATTATATTCAAAAGAGACAAAGAGCTTTGTTGATCAATGACAAAAGCTTCTGAAATTATATTTTGTCTATTTTCAGAAAACTTCAACAGTGAAAGAAATGGCTGATTTTATTATTTATCCTGACGGAGCCTTGTCTTATTATTGGATGGTAAGTGTTGACAAGAATCTCAAATGGACAACCAATACTTTTGTAGGATAACGCCACTGTCAGGGACAGATGCGCCATTGTAGGGGATTGATTTTAGCCTTGAATATATGTAAATAGTCTTCAGAAGTACTAGAAATGTTAGAAAATTGCATAATTCCTTTAAAAATATTCTAAACTAAGAATATTTTCCTCATTATTTCTATATGTCTTCTATATATCACAGAGTATCTTAAAATGACGAGTCGTCATTTTAATATTCAAACACGGATAATTCTGGACATACATTGATTTTCGACGATTTTCAAATTTTGACGGTGAGCTGTGAACACTATTTCTGATTGTCTTAGCTAAAAATATTCCCGTTTCCGAGACTAAAGTATGGTTGGTCAAATAAAATTGCGCATCTGTCCCTTTAAATCCTTCATGTCTTTATCAATTAGATAATGCCAAAAGCTGGATTTTAAACTTTAATCCATTCTGTTAACTTGGTAGTTTTCATTTGCTACTCCATAAAAACTTTCGTAATGGCAGTTTTATGATGAGAAGGTCTGTTGTTTTGTTATTGCAAGGTGCAATAATTTGTCTTTCTGCTCTGAATTGAATATGTATTTTTGTTTTTCTTCAGAGTTTGACAACTTTAGCTGTAATGTATAATTTAGCTGTTGTTATTTTGAGACTAGCGTTTTCTGATGTTAGAGATCAGGTAAGCAAATTGATTGATTATTTTATGTCTGGAATAGGCTAGTTTTTACTAAAATTCAAATTCCCATGTGTTTTCATGTATAAGAGCTATATCTATGCAGCATAGACATTTTCCATTTCACATCGGAACAACTGTGCGCAGATAGCACAAACAATTTCTATTCATTTTACTACGTATAATCATTGTAAATAATATTTATTTATACATGAAATGGGGAGGGCGTATATTGGCGTCATCCATGTCCGTCCGTTTCACAATTCTTGACAATTTTGATGAAACTTGGTGTGAGTATGGATGAACTGTATTGAAAATCAGAATAATCTCAAAATTGTTGCCCTTGTTCTTGAAAACGCGTTCAAGTTTTAGTCTGTAAAAAATCTTGAAGATACAATTCTTGACAGATTTTGACAAAACTTGGTAATTTTTTTCAGTACCCCCCCCCCCCCCCCCCCCCCAAAAAAAAAGGTTCAAAAGACTGAAGGTTGAATATTTCATACTGGTGAATGTTAATGTTCTGCCAAATATTTTTATGCAAAATCATAGCTGCCAGTGGGCGTATATTACCTTGCCTGGCAAGCTGTCTTTATTGTTGATTAACGTACATGCAAAACATAGTGCCATTTTTTTATGAAACCATGAAAAGGGTTTTACAAAGAAATGGCGGAACTGAGAATGCGCTAAAGCAATGAGGATTCAAAAACAAAACAACAACAGTCATTAGAGAGATCAAACTAATACAAGAGCCATATCTCTTAATATTTTATAGATTATAAAACAGTTTTCTGATAACTTTTCAAAGGAATAGATGATAAAGCCATTTTTTGTTAATTTTTCAGAGATTATTTTTCCTGTTAGATCATATTACAGACGTGATATATGTAGTAGATATTTTAGTTCAATCTAGAACAGCTTTTCTTGAAGATGGTTGTCTGGTATGTAATTTCCCTCGATATTTGCTGTAGTGATTTCAGCTGTTCATATCACTTACAAAATATAATTCAGGTATCTGTTCTCCTACAATTTAGTAAAAAAATAAATGCAGTTTAGACTGATGTCCATTTAGCATTATTGCTTACATTATTACCAATTATAATCGGTGTTTTTATGAAGCTGGCAAACACACAATTTCTCCGATCGTTTATTGAATGTCTTTCAAATTCAAGGTTTTGGAACCTCAAGCCATGTATCAGAATTATCGTAAAAAGTTTAAATATTGGTTGGATATTGCTGCAATATTTCCTGTAACTACAGTATATTGGACGTCAAATGGTAAATATTAAATTTTGTAATAACAGAAGCATTTTCATCTTAATCTGAATATTGTGGCGTTAGCATTTGATATTTGGGTGGGAAATAACCAATGTATCAACAGTGCTATTGCGAGTTTGACAATGACAAAGTGGTGATTTTGAACGAATATGAGCATAGCTCTTGTTTGCTATCTTTATCAAAGTTAGTAAAAAAAAGTTTCATTTTGGGCACACAACACGCATTCAGTTGTCCGACACAAGGTTAGGCTCCCAATATGTATTTTTATAGATGCGATTCATTTCTCAATTTTGACTTTATATTTTTCTCCTTATTTCAGTCTTAATGAACGCAGTTACATTCAAATTTTCCACAATTTTCTCAGGTATATTACGTTTGTTTTTTGTCTTTTTTGTATTGCATTCAAGTCAATTCAGCTAAATGCTTGATAATATCACCAATTACCGTATGAATAGACGATTCTAAGACCCACGTTAAAAGGTGTGCATAAGAGCTTGGACACAGATCAACATGTATGTACACCATTCTGATTCAGATTTTCAAAGACATGCTTTCGGAACCATATACATAGATGTTGTTAATATCCTCTTGTCGCTAAAATATGCTTTGTAAACCTATCACCCTTCCTTGTGGAACCAATTGTTAATGTCAGCGGAGAGATACAGGTTTTGGCAGATGGTACTCTCGTGCTTCCCCACAATTGCTCTTTTACCTTTGGCCCGTGGCACCCCTATACTGAAACATTTGTATAGTGGATACACTCATATATTTATGATTCATATTCATTCTTTCCAGTTATGTCATTACCATGGTTGCGATTTTTAAGAATATTGAAATATCATCAGGTCACTTCATTTTTCGAAATAGCCGACAGGTATGTTATTTTACTGATAAATGTCATTTTTCACAGATACGCAGATTCCACTAATCCTTGACATTATTCAATATAATGGTAGGCCTAATGTAATCGTTAATTACCTTCACGTGAGCCACTTTGAAAGTATTGCTGTCAGGCTTTCGTGGTTCTTGTAAGCTTTTCCATTTGAAACCAAAACCATTTGACAATGAAACATCCAAGTCCTGCATCCATGGATCAGTGAGTTTTTATTCAGTTCAAGTGAACATTACGAAGGAAACACAGGATCCATTCTATTACTTGTATAGGTTTAGTTGCGAGCGCAATTCGAGCCGAAAGTGATATTCAATTACTTGAATCACATTTCGTTGAGAAATGGCCATCCATTATTTTGCTATCAAATGAAAATATGGTAACATATCATTTTCATCCGTTTTCCAGTCGGACGCGACGGCCAAGTCTTCTACGTGCCTTTAAATTATCACTACATTTGTGGATGGTTATACATTGGATAGCTTGTATATATTATATGCTCTCTGAGGTGAGTGATAGAAGCTTAATGATGTTGTGGGAATACACCAAATGGTCTCTATCTTACACGGGCTGAGTGATCTCTAACTTATACGGGATAAGTGAGCTGAGTGGCCTATATCTCGGCTATTTAGGCTACATTTAAGATTTTTTAATCATCCATAGAAAATTTCCTGGCCGTTTCTGATTCGCACTATACAGAAAAATAATCGGTTCATATCCGACTAATGAGGAATTTTTATCAAGATTGTCACCAACATAACACATGGGTAATGTATCATTATGATTTCAGTATGAAGGTCGAGGAACTAATGACTGGGTCTATACTGATAATGAAGACGGAGGTTTTCGAAGGTAAGCTACATCATAAGTTATAGTGTTATCATTACCAGGTTATCATGCTTTATACAATAGGTATGTCTTCTGAAATGAACCTCCCATTGACAATAGAAAAAACTGAACAAAATCAAACGGATCTAACTTTTTTGTGAGATCCCAATGGAAACGGAACCGGGCCATATTTTGAAGAACTTTATTTGACATCATTTTGATACGAATGATCTCCCTCTGACCATTTCTAACCTTTTATGTTTTATATTGTTCCTTTCAGAAAGTATATCAGGTCTGTGTACTGGTCGATGATGACTTTAACGACTATTGGTGAACGACCCTCTCCTGAAACAGATTTGGTATGTATAATATGCTTCTTTCGGATCTATGATAGCGATCCGAGGTTAATTTTGGAGATCCAGATCGGACCGTGTTTTTGCATTTCAGAGATCACGTGGCCAGAAGATACCTTCCAAATTAAATCTCCAGTTTAATTATGCTTGTCTGAAGCGAAGAATTGACATTTCTTCCATATGAAACACCTGATGGTATTGTTCGTTTATCTGCACACCTTTCAGAGAGTCAATTATGCCTACAATTCATTCTGGCATCATTATTCCAGGAGTACATATTTACTGGTACGACATTTCTAATTGGAGTATTTGTATTTGCTGCTGTCGTTGGTAATGTTGGAGACGTCATTAGTAACATGAATGCTGCAAGACATGATTTCCAATCAAGGTTGGTACTTGCATATCTGGTTGTTTATTATGTCTTTAATGCAAGAATCCCTTTTCTTTCCAATGTATGTTAACCCGATTCTTGACGATAGGCCGCATGTTTGCGAACATTGTCGGTAATCTCCAATAGAGCATTACCTTATACCATCAAAAGGGTTCTGGTGCGATCGTCCCAGTCCTCTAATGATCAGTCCCTAGCTCACATGTTTAGTTTGCAATGATGAGCTAAGCCATTTGTTCCAGCACATTATTGATTTGATTTTTCTGCCTTCGTTATCATATCTACATGCTGCATTTCAGAATGGATCAGATCAAGTTTTATATGAATCACAGATTTGTACCAGAAGATCTTCAAGATAGAGTCAAAAAATGGGCAGAATATTCATGGACAAGGTAAAATTGCTTCGTGGTTCATAGTGCATCGTACATAGGAATGAAAAAAGTGTAAATTTGACTTAAAGTGGTTTTTGTAAAAGATTCTGGTTTTTTTTTGCAAGAATAACGATCGCGTCACGCGTCAGTATGTTTTGTTATGTGGAAAATGTGGAAACATTTCTGTGGCATACTGCTTCAAAAATAATTTTTTTTTTTTTTGCAAATTATAATTTTTGGTGGACTATCCGTCTGGTCTTGTCTCAACTACTAACAAAACAAATTTAGATACCCCATGAGAATTATAACTTTGTGGTTTCTGTAGCATACTGCCTCAAAAATAATATTTTTTGCTAAAATTTAAATGGCAACATGGTAACTAAAAATGCTTCAACCATATTTTGAATTCAAATGATAATTTTTGGTGGACCATCCGTCTGGTCTTATCTCAACGTAACAACCACCAGCAAAACAAATTTAGATACCCCATAGAGAATTATAACTATATGGTATTTTAGAACTCAAGCTATGGATGAACCAAGTGTATTAGCTATGCTGCCTGACAGACTTCGAACAGAAATAGCTATCCATGTTCATTTAGATACATTGAAACAAGTAAGTGTAATATCTTAAGCCCTTCGACCTTCAAAGTTAATGGCAAAATCTTGATTCTTGATGCATGGATATGTGATCCTTGCCTGGAAGAAGCATTGTGACTCATCATCAACTTGTATAGATATGGTGATAAAGGCGGAGTATTTCAGGTTTTATGACTTGTGATGGTTTGCTGAATGAGTTGGTTTTGTTCCAAATTATGAGACTTGTATTAACAAATGGTGGTCGTGGGTTTGATCTCGGTCGGCGTGTGAAAGTCTGTCGTCCTTGAAAAAGTCATCTTGCCTCATAATTCTAGTCGACCCAGCCGTAAATCTGTGTGGGAAACTGCTGGAAAGATCAATGCTTGGCTTTGTCAAGGAATAACTGGTTCAAAGGATTTCTTGAATCTCAGTTGTTATCCTTGTAAAATATAGTTGTTTCTTTCCTGTCTAAAAGGTGAAGATATTTGAAGAATGTGAAGAAGGATTGTTACGTGAATTGGTATTAAAATTACGACCTATAATATATTCACCTGGTGATTATATCTGTCGTACTGGCGAAATAGGCAGAGAGATGTATATTATTAATCATGGGAAAATAGAGGTAGGTAAAAAATCTAGTGAAATTGAAATGAAATCGTGTGTTACGTCCAACTATCGAGTGATAATCGTGCACAACCTGAAGCAAACGGTTTATCGTTTTATTGTCCCATCCGAACGACTAGAACATCCATGTCACGTCCGACACCACTGACCGGGAAAACTGGGTTTAAAAATCAGAAGCTGTCATGAACTGAATGAAAAGACTATATAACTTTATATTGATGCTATCAACTTTATGAAATTGGATATAATCTACGCCTTTTTCAGATCTTAGTACAAAAAGGTGAAATTTCTACCAGAGTAGCTTTACTGAAACCCGGAAATTATTTTGGTGAAATCAGTCTATTGAAATTGGATGAAGGACAAAATAGGTAGGTTCTGAATCTCATTTCACAAATTAAGTACATTCAATATTAGTTTAAGGCCACTTAGTCAGCTTGGTTCGTTCAATAGCCACCAACTAAGTCAAGACCCTTTAAGTCAGCTTGAATGATTCAAAAGGCACCGGCAAAGTCAATTTGACTAATACAAAAGCCATTGACTAAAGAATTAATGGCTCAAAGCCATGGATAATGTCAGTTTCAGTGGTTCAAAAAATATCGATTTAAAATGAGTATTTCAAATGTCAACGAAATTTTCAAAAGCCTGAATCCTTAACCTTATGATTAATTCAAAATTATCGTCGCCGCTTATACAAAATCGCTTAGAAATTAGTAATAGGTAATCGCATATACACCATTTTCAGACGAACTGCCGATGTTAGAGCTATAGGTTATTCAGAATTGCTATGTTTATCACGTAAAGATCTCATTTCGGTAAGAAAATCTCTTTTCCTATTATTATTTCCTTCATCATGATTGATTCCTTCTTTTCTTTGATTTCTCTTCTAAAAAAGGATTTCGTGACGCTGTAATTACTTTATGAGGTTTCTTATATGAAATTGAAGGCTATATTAAGAAAAATAGTTCATCTATTTTAACAGAATTTCGCCCTTTTTATCTCTTATGATACACGATGTATATGAATAATGAAAAAAATTACCGAAGAAGGATGAATTCCTCTGGAAAATGAAGAACTGAATGTACTTTACAATATCAGTAGAAAAACTCTTTGATTTGAGTACAGCGAGAGAAAGAAACACCTCACGGCTCTTGTTATAGATGAACTGTTTGGAGTAGGCGAACCAAGCTTCGTGTTATAGATTCTGGAGATGCGCAAAGAAATGAATTGCAAAAGCTTCACATTTTCTAATTTTTCATTGATATTTCAGGCTTTGGGAGAATATCCTGACGCAAAGAAGATCTTGGAAGCACAAGCCATGAAGAGGTACGATATTTTGAAACATTTTGACTAGACTTTTAGGAAGCGTTACAAATATATATTCATATACACAGTGAAAACGAATACTTACAATAAAAACTCGAATCAAACTTAAATATTAGTATTTGTTTGACAATGACAGCAATTGACTTAGGTTGGTACTCGAAGTATTCGCGATCCAAACCACGCACCAGTTGCCATAAGACTTACGTTTCTCTCGTTGCTGAATTAAATGATGAAATTGCAAATAGTAGGTACAGTTTATTTTAGCTTTAGTCTATGATGTAACACGACAGATATATTTTTTTATAGAATGCAGGAAACAAAGGGAGTACGACAAACGGATAAAGCACCTTCTCCTACTAATATTAGTTCGAAAACAAATCACGAGTTCCCTAAACGCAAAGCTAGTGATGTATTTAGTCAAGTCATGAAACAAGAAGGATTTCGGAAGTTGCTGTCTTCTAGAGGTAGTATCATAATTTAAAGGGTCCGCCTCGCCATTCATTTGACTTATCTTACTTGAATCTCAGAAACGGGATTTGTTTAGCTATGCTAATCAGTAATTGTGTTCACAGCTCACCTTCGCAATTTTAGCCTTCAAATCCATGTGTGTCCAGAATTATCCTCGTTTGAATGTTAAAATGACGACTCGACATTTCTAGAGACTTTGCTTTAGAATTAGAAAGTGAAAGTCCTAGTTTGAGGTATTTTTGAAGGAAATATACATTTCTAGTACTTCTGAAGACTATTTACGTATATGCAATTCTACCCCCGAAAATGTCGATTCTTCCTCTTTAATCTTAGTGATGTTAGAGACTAGCGAAGAAACCCCGAGCACAACTTCGACAACAGGACCGACAAAATAGCATTACGTATCTTTACATAGGGCACCACCAGATGAGTTGGAAAAATGGGAAAAGTCATGCAACTTGAGTATTAAAAGTTTTGTAGTGTGTATAATGTCTGACGTTCTGATTTTACTATACCAGCTCTTTAATTGCAGAAAAAAATATATTTCAAGTACATGTATACAAATTTTAGAAATCATTTCATTTTCCTGAGTCCTGAGCAAGGTAGCTTTGAGAAGAAAAATGTATATTCAATCTCAAACCTGGTACTTGTTTTTGTTGACAATAACGCAGCCTTCTGGTACACGGTTCTTGTAAAATGACATGAAAAATTGTACTGTTTTCAGATAATGAAATGCACGAGTTAAAGAAGATGGTTGCTGAAATGAGAGAACTAAGTAGAAAACAGGTATGAGTATAATGCACGAATACAAAACTTTGATACCTTCGTTTAAAATGGCATGTCTTGGACATTGTTGAACTTTTCTCGTTTTAATTTCAGAATTATGCGTTTAAGTTCGATTCATGTCCAATCTGATGACCTTCTTTTTCGTCTCCATTGTAATCTAACAAATTTTCCACCACAGTCTCGTTCAAATGACTTATTTTAACCATTAAAAACGTAGAACCCTAATCGAATTTTGGGATAGTCAAACAGAGTCAAAAAGGTAGCCTACTTTCACAATGGTCTACATCGGGTTTCGCCATCCAACAATTATTCATCCTTGGTTTCAAGAAATGGGTCCTTCATGATTACAATTCAGATGAAAAAATTTAACGATATTGATGAATCAAGATGGGTTTAGATTTTACCCTTAGAACGACCAATTTATTTTCTATTCACAGAAAGAACCAATGAATGAGGCTTTAGAAGAAAAGGTACGTTGTTGGTTTTATTATATATTCAAAGAAAATATTGATATATGATTTTTAATATCACAATACATCCCGACAACTTCTTAGTACAGAAGGATTTGTGGCTTCGTCATCAGAAAGATTAGTTGCTAATCTTTAATTTATCCATATGCACTGACTGTAATGTCAATGTAATTCCAATGTAATGGAAATTCAGTAGATTTGTGCCCAATGGGAGAGATAATTGTTTTACTTACCCCCACAACAACATTCTATCTCAACTGAGTCATCTTAAATAAAAATATTATCACTTTTCTCAACACATTTTTCTTTTGTAGTGCCGCAGTATGGAAAACAAAATTGCTGGTAAAGATTTGGCTTTAAAACAGGCTAAAAGAAGAATCAATCAACTGGAGACCTACGTCCGAATTCGAGCCTACAACGCCAAATTCCAAAGACACAACGTGCCTGCGTCCGATCCAATAGTCCAGCCACCCAAAGTTGTTAGACAGTCATCGAGTATTCCAAACGGTGTACCGAGGGCAAGAAAACTCTCTGGGAATTTACCAGTGTTCAATGGCCACAATTCCCAAGATCACGAAAACTCCAGAAAGGATCGTCAATCTTCTTTAGAAAGGGAGAGCTCTATACCCGACCATATTGGATACAATCATTTCGTAAACAGACATGAAACTAAAAATGGGTCATGCACTTCGGAGAGACACAATGATCACGCAAATGGTAGTCCACATCATTATCGAAATGGCGGACAGCATCTAACAAATGGAAGTCGTCGTAAGGAACATCAGTATCTCAAAAGTTCGACTAAGTCCCATGATGATCCCTTTCAACATCATACCCATCAACATGGCATGTCTTCCACCGAAAATGAAAAGACATTTTGCACAACGTCAAATTTCATCGTCCAATCTCCGCCGAAATGTACACAATCACACATTTCAGCAGATGATGCAATCCCATGCACAAGCATTCTTCCACCTCATCAGAGAGTCCTAAAGTCCCACAATAGCTTTGACTATCCTAGTTTTAGAACGTTGGACCTTACTGCAAGTCCCAGACTAAAATCATGGTCAAGTGCTGACAGTTTGATTCCTCGCCACAGCATTTCAACTCGCATCATTTCAAAAGACAACATTCCAAAAGATTCTACTGGTCATCCATGGATTGACACTGAAAAGCCTAAATCAGACGTGCCTCACTCCACCGAAATCAGCAAAGTTAATGACATTGTTTTTAATTCAGGGACTCATATTTCTACTGCAACATTCACAGTTGGTGCTCCGAGGGTCAAATCTGAAATTTCGGATGAAGACTCTTTCGATAAAGATTGTGTTCAAATGTCTTCTAATAAAAAATTACGGAGCTACATCACGAATATTAAATTTTCAAGAGGAAAAACTGTCAAAAGTGATAGAACAGAAATCCAAAATGGAGACCCAAATATGAAAAGTTCGCCAATGGGCTCACCAAGACCTCTGTTGAAGTTTTGTAAACGGAATTCAGAGGAAACGATTGATTCGGGTATAAGTGATAAAGATGATGTAAACGAAGAAGAACTTATTCGGTTAATGGAACTTATTTCTAAAGACCAATCACTTGATTCCATCAATACGTCACTAAGTGAGAATGACAGTGATCTTGATAGTGACGCAGATTTTGAATAGTAACTGATAACATCACTTTTGTCTCCGTATTATGTTGGAGACTTCGCCATCCATTTTAACAAGCATACCTTAGTCTCCAAAACGGGAATCAGTAATAATGTTTAAGGCTCACCGCCAAATCCACGTGTGTCCAAAATTATCCGCGATTGAAAGTAAAAATGACGACTCGTCTTTTCTTGAGCCAATGTCATATATAGAAAAGACATCTTTAGAAATATAAGTTGAAATTCCATACTTTCGTACATTTCTAGTCCAAATATTCAAGACTCATGATCAACCCCCGAGAATGGTGTATCTGTTCCTTTAAGCTCGCCCATTTGAAACTATTGTCCATTTTTGTGATTTTTAGATGATCATTTCTAAGAGTGACTTCATAAAAAGGACTAATTGGATATTTCGATTTAGTCACTTCAGTTATTTTATTTGGTTCTATTTGTTAATGTACTTATTATTTCGTTTCTAAGTAGGCGTGCATTGAAACTTCGGCTGTAAATAAATAATATGCTCGAAAATTTTAATAATTACACGTTTCCCCATTGAAAACAAAACTTATATTTTTTTTTTCGTTTTTTTAAGCTGACACAGACATCCTCAATAAAGGAATTGTAAAGGGGATTTCTAAAAATTTTATGTGTATCGGGGACACTGATATCATCAATTTGCACCATTCCAATTTTCATTCCGACGTCTGTGGTTCCTGCAATTCCACTAAAACTAAGTGTTTTATGATATCACCCCCGCAAAATTTGCTTGTATCACATTTGCGTGGGTGACGTCATAAAACATTTAGCTATATTAGAATTGCTAGAACCATTTGATTGAAAATTGGAATGGTGCAAATTGACGCTATCATTGTCCCTGATAAACAAACAAAATTGAGAAAACTTCTTTACATCACCTGAATCAGATGGGCCATTTTAGCTTCTAATTTTCCATTTCGTACCCATATGTGTTTCTATATATTTCGTAATTTAGTTGTTTTCGTTTGAATCCAGTATATCTATGATGAATATGAACTTGGGTGCCCGATACTTTGTCTTACTCCGTGGGTCACCTCGATCGAATAACATGGGCTTCGTTCTCAAATTACGTATGATTGGTCGGATTTCGATTGCTCAGGGCTATACAGGCCAATCATATGTGATGTTACTTGGTGGAAAAACTAAAAGTGTGCGGAAGATAACAACTTTCTATCATTTTCCATACTTCATGGATTGTCAAGGTTTGGTCACCTTTGGATTTGAGTATCTTTCATATTCTTTTTTGTATTCCCTTTAACAATATTAGGCAATTTGTTATGTATAGTTTTGTATCATTTTAGTTGTGGATGGATAGTTTTACAAACCGGTTAAACATTCTCTTTTTATGTTAAAAATAATTTACTGACACAATATACATGAATATGTATTTATGTGATATATATGAAACGCAAAACAGGAGTTTGTTTAATGGTTTGTAAAATAAGTTCACCCTCAATGTTATCTTGTTATGATGTATATAATATGGTTCCTAAATCTGTTTTGTTATTATTATTGGATGGAAAGTAATTTTTACAATAAACGATTTCGTGCCATACATATTCTGTCCAATGTGACAAAATCAGCCTAAATCACTTTACCTAGAGGCGATTTATGCATCAAAAACATGATCGTTGGGTATGTATGGTAAGCTAAGAAAACAGTTGAGAACCAATGTATTCAGGATGCAATAGAGAGAAATAGGTCCCCTCCACTCCAATCCAAAGTTTTGCCGCAATCACTAGTTAAAATGGTGCGGATCTTGTCACTTCAAAAGTAACAAATGCCTGGGTTGTGGTTTTAATACTCTTATTGAGTTACTAAGAAATTTATTATATGATTCGTTCAAAGCATGAAAAGAAAGACAGGAAATGGGATTTCATTGAAGCTTCAACTCGACTCTATTTGTCAGTCGGTTCATACACAATTTTGCCATCAATCTTCAACTCTTCCAAATAAAAATCATCCTGCCGTTCTAACGGTGCCATATAATTACAGTGACCGCCTTCAGCTATTTCCATATAAGGACATGCATACAGTTTGTGTTCCTAAAAAAATCAAATATACCCCATTAATTGAATTCTACGTCTATCACTCACGAGTATGAAAGGACTTTATTTCTTGGCAGTATGGACGATAACTCGTACCGTCCCATAGGTTAGTTGTGTCATATGAAATATCGTATCCAGCTAGGTAGAAGATTGCTCGAACATTGACAGTTCTTCGTGGGCATTCATAATATCTTTCCTTGAGTGGCTCTAGTAAGGTGACTTGTTGATGCATTTCGATAGCATACTCAACTCCCCAATGACCTCATGTTCAGATATTTAGATCACTAAAATATTCAACCAAGCAAATGACTTGCTCCATAAAAGCGTTGTGTATCATTTTGAGAAAAATCATTGTTGCAAGTTGTAATATTAGGTTTGATTGGTTACCACAGAAAATTTATTGGTGTAAAATTTCTTGTGAACACAATCTAACAAAGAATCTTCTCAGATCAATCATGAAACGAAGCATCTAGATTCGCATTTGAATTACTTTTCCATGTACGTACCTTCTCATATCTCTCCATTGCCGAGTAGACTTTATTAACAGCTATTATAATCGACATAAAATTCTTGTACGGAAATGACGTCACCATAGCTTTCGATATCGCAGGCAATGTGGTAAATTTATAACCCTTAGATTCAAATAATTTTTTCGCCTCTCTTGATGGTGTTTCGTCATCATAAGCTAATATTGAACCCACTGCCCATCTCAATAGATGACTTGGAAACTGAAAATATCAGGTTATTGTTAATGAGCCTAAATGATAAAGAGAAGATATTATGTATAATGTTCTTCAGAGAGCATTTTCAATGTGATATCAAAGGAACACATTTGTTTAACTTTGTCCGCTGACACAACTTAACCGATTGGGCTGACGTTGAAAAACGATATCTCTAAAAACTCCAAGATCAAAATAAAGTAGTGTTGTCTTTGGTACATTATGAATAATCCTGAAAGGAAACGTGTTACCATTACTTCTGCGCCAGCCAGTGGTGGGACAAGCCTCCCGAAACTGGGGGTACTAGAACGGGGCAGATTGACCCAATGGAGGAACTTTCGAGGCTGATTTCGAAATGCGCAAACTCCATGGCAGCATCTTGTCGACAGCCTCTCATGTAGCATCTGAAAAGGTTCTCCCAAAAGAAGTTTCGAAAAATCAAATTGATTTGGTGCATTCTGACCCATATTTTGGGGCAAAAATGTATAACAATTAGGGGTGCAAACCATTTTACTAGGGGGCCACTGGGTCTACCCGATATGGGCCATACGTCATTGATGGAAATATTTAATTTGTTTCCATTGTATTTAAGTCGGAACGGTATCACTACAACGTGGCCACAAAAGTGTAATCAAAACGGACCCAAAATCATGACCATTACAATTCCTTTTAGTGTGCCTAGTCTTCTGCTAGCATCCCCTCCATAATAACCTACATTTTGAATACAATGTTAAGTGTGTCAAATCTCTATTCAGTTTCACCAGGTCTATAAATAAACCAAAAATTGCGGGAAGCTCCTTGTTAATGATAGCAAATGATATACTCTCGGTCCCATTCATACAAAAATAATATACTATTATGCTAGAGTACATTTACTCCAGTTTGCAATAATTTACTAAAACATTTAGGTCTAATATTAAGATCAGTCCCGTAGCTAGCCCGGGTTTTTTTTAAGGGGGGCTCAACTATTTGATTCAAAAAGTCAATAAAGAAACTATATATGTACATTGAAAAATATGCGTTTTAGTGTTTCACGGGGTTGACAATCAACAATGATAATAATCAACAATTACACCAGCTGTAAGCGAGGGTGTTGTACACCAAACCTACTTAAAACAGTTTAAGTCAATTCCTGCTGTTATTTGGTGTTAAAAACCCATCAGACTATTAAAAGCCTTAGAATTGCTCTATGTCTTTATAAAACGATAAAAACAGAACATTTTTCAGGGTGGGGGGGGGACAAATATTTCGAAGGAGTACTTTAACTACAATGACAAACTTTTCACAACGTTCCAGAAGAATTATTAAAAAAAACTCACTTGGCCTGGATCATCATAGTAGATTCCAAGACATGCATTGTGTGGTGCCAGTTCACCAACTTCTTTGAACAGATTTCCAACATTCTTGTACGGTCCTGTTGAAAATTTGTAAGCTATTAGAATTTTTCCAATTGGTGGAGAGCCTACACTAACAACAACCTTGTGGAAAAGTCCGGAATACACGAGGAATGCAAACAATATAAGAGCAACACAAACAATGAATCCAGCAACTGGAAGCATGTAAGCTAGTAAGTCGCCCATGGTTTGATATAAAGCGTAGATGATAATGTCGATGTAACGAGATTGAATTAATAACGTGAATCACTGCCGCACCCCAGCGCACTCAATAAAAGCCTCAAAAGTGTATAGTATCAAGTTTATAACGCAATTTTGACCCACATCAGCTGTGTCAAGGCCGCTAACAAATTGACCCTAAACGATGAATTGTGCAATTTAAAATATATTTTCATGAATATGTCGATCAAAACTATAAACATTATACATTTTTGATCTAATTTTATTAGACTTGATGTGCTCAATGTAATTATGTCCATATAATAAAGGGATAGGCCTACCAAGTTTCACCAAAGGCTGACCAAATTACTGTTGTGGCCTCTATCGTGCTTGGGGGACCCAGCATTTATACAGTGAATGCATCCCTAAAGCCCCTCATTTACACAAGAATGGCGACACGGTTCTAATCAGCACCGCTCAATGGTCAAAAGCCATGTTTCCTGGGGAACCTTGCACAAGATGTGAGCTACTATAGAAATATGCCGTTGAAGCTCAAAGTAGATGAGATGGCGTTCAGAGTACAGACATCGCTAAATTGAACACATGACCAAATATTATATATTAATAAAATATGGGCAATGTGGAGAAAATAGTGTTAACGTATATTGACATTAATTTCTCGACATTCTTGGAATTTATTAATATTGACAGACCTTCAAGGGCCTAGTATTCTTCACGGAAACTGCAGCAGGTCGTATCTGTAGGTCACTCAAGCAGATTGCTAAGCAAACTCTTGATGGGGTACTCATTTCCAAATACCACACTTAAAATTGTGGTAATCGGGCCTAAAAGACCTTACAATGAGTGGCGTTTCTAAGACGGGGACGGGGCCACATAATTTGTCTTACAGGCAATATTTCCCTATGTATAATTATATGAAATTTGAAAGTGGAGGGGGCAAAGCCTATCTTTATGGGTTTGGGGAAGGGAGACATGGATGGCCTCCCCCTCTCAGATATACCACTGCTTATAATCTACCAAGTGGTGAAGGGGATATATGTAAGGCCTAAGTACAATAATCAATATATCTTAATTAAAAGAAAATATTGACATTTGAGGTTTGTAAAAGGGTTTTTATCATTATATTAAATAAAAGATGGGTTTCCTTATTTTCTAGTGACAAATTAAGAAAACTACTTGAATAACTGGTGTCTCTAATGAATTATCATGTAATCTTAATCATATCTGATCTTATATCTGATGCATATAATTAGGATTTTTAACCAATCATAAATGTCTTTGTATGTACAGTCTGGATAAACAAAAACAAAAAAGACTTTTTGGCCTTTCTTGATTGGTCACTCAATGGAATTCTGCTGGTCATACTCTCAGCTAATTATGAATTAATTATGGATATTTTGAGACAAACTGGTATTTTTCCTATTCATTAGAATGCCTCTACTTTATATACATGAATGAAAATAAGGGAACCCATCTTTAACATCTCTCAAGCATAACTTCCATATTTCTAAAATTTTCACAAAATAGCAACATTTTCCAAATCGGTTACCGGGTACTTCATTATAAGCAATAAATTTAAACATAAGTTTATTATTTGCATATTCAGGGATTATAAATGAGGTGGTCAAGTTTTAAATGTGAAGATTTATCACAAAGATGAATTCCGCAGTTCATTTGCAATATTTTGACATAAGCTTACATCCTGAAACACACATATATCCTTAAATCACACAGCTATTGTTAATAAAATGGCAACCAGCACTTAACATTCATCCTTGTTTATTTTCATCTTCCTGTTGATCCAATAATGCAGATCTTATTCCAACTTTTTTCAGTTCTTCAATAAGGTCACCATTTTTATGCATCTCTAACATAATATCACTACCGCCTATAAATTCACCATTCATGTAAATTTGGGGTATGGTTTGCCACTGTGAATAGTCTTTAATACCTTAAAGAAGAAAGACAAAAAGAATAATGTTTATAATCTTCTCTATGTCTGGAAAAAAAAAAGAATCATCTTTTTACAGTCCAGTCAAAACTTATTTCAGTTACACATTACAAATTTTCGTTCAAAAGGGTTTAGGTATTTCAGCGTTTTTCTTACCTTGACGAAGTGATTGATCTGCTAACACATTGTGAGCCTGAAAGTCTTTTACACCATGCATTCTCAATATTTGTACAACCAAATTACTGAAACCACAGTTTGGAGAATCCGGAGTGCCCTTCATGAAAACAACTAGTTTTTTGTCTTTGACAAGTCCATCAATATGTTCTTTGCTTCCTGTATTTGTGCTATATCTTGCAGCAAGTATTCTGCAAAAGGAAGCAGTTGACTTCGTCGTAGAAATCTTTAGCAGACGATTCATTCTGACACTTTATTCTTATGCAACAAAATCTTCAGCACATGTAGCTTACCAACAATTTCCGGTTTCTAAATACGCAAATGAAATAGTTCTTAGGACTATAGTAATTATTTTGCATTTATTTATTTCGTTTTCAATTAATTATGCATGGATATATATAAACATTGTTTTCAATCATAAATATTGTTTTCTTTTTGTGCATGCTTTCGGCCTCATAAATAATTATATAATTATCACTACGCCAGGAGTTTATTTATGCGCATGTCTGTTTCAAACATCAACATCCGGCTTCTTCGTCTTGCAATCCGTGATGTGTCAAAGAGAGTGAATCTGTCAATTTATTGCATAAAGTAGAGTGATTTTATCTTTGATGATGGATACAGCCAAGGAAATTGCTGCCAAATTTAAGGAAGCTATTGTCCAAGGAAGGACCGATGTTGTTTGTGCTTTGATTTCCGAATTACAAAAAGGTAAAGATTTTTGTTATTGATGATGAGGACATGCAATGATGCATGGATGGATTGATGACATGACGATTGACGTCATGTGAATGCCCATAAGAGGCATAGACCTACTATTGGGTAGTAATCCGTTATTAAATGTAGGAGCTTGGAGAAATATGGCGTTGTTGGATATCACACTGTAGGCCTAGGGAATTTGACAGTAAGTTTCGCCTGCTATATTCATACTAGTTCGAAACATACTGCCTCTATTACAGCCTCTGATGCAGATTTTGACAGTTATCAGCTGGAATACTGTCAGAAAAAAGAGACCCTGTTGAATGGAGATTTTCCATTCCTCCGAAGATGCATTTTTATTGGATTACATTTAAGATGATTGTAAACTAGTTTTGGGTACCACCGTAACCTTCGTTTTGTTAGTATCATATGACCTTTGAACTTTTGGCTACACAGTCAATTTTAAATGACCGGTGCAAGATCAGTTTTGTGAAAAAGACTTTGATTGAGACGTGACTTTAAAGGTGTAGGAAGAACATGATGGTATGACTGAACTTCAAAAACATTCATCTTTCCAAATTTACAGATCCGACATAAGTTTAAGACCCCCTGCACCATTCAGGGATGCTGAATGTCCCAATTTTTCTGTCTCTACACCAGCCTACATCCGGTCCAAATAGCTCTCAGAGACTGGAATTGAGACAGAGCTATTGGGCTATATTCATACAAGTTTATGATATGATTTTAAAAATTCTGCTGAAACTAGCAGGTTTTTCAAGATTCAATGATCTGTACTTCTGTCTTCTATGCTTCTGACAAATGAACACATGAAGTCTTTGCTATAAATCAAATTACTGTGTTACATTCTGCTTGAAGCTCCTGATCACTATGAATTATATATAGTCTCATTATAAATAGAGTAAAAGATCAAATATCTCTAGTAATATTGTTGGTTTGAAAATTGAATTTTCACTTTAATGCATGAATTTTTTAAAGCCTATTGGCTGTACACTTTCTCATGCATTTAGTTATATAATATAAGTTGTTTGCCTATAATATTTGTATGATATCAGTTTTGAGCATCAATGGTTTTATGGTGATGCCTTGTGGCCATTCTGATACTATCATGATGTTAGGAATTGATTTGTGAAGTTGTAAACATTTAGTTATATGAGTTGGGTTTTATGAAATGATAAAGAAACAGTTTCTTGTCTTCATTAAATAAAATATGACATTGAATAATACTAGGACATTAAGTATTAATAGAATAGTTCACCTCATTTAAAGGGACAGGTGTGCCATTTTTTAGACCAATCATACTTCAGTTTCAGAAATGGGAATTTTTTAGCTAAGCCAAAAAGTAATATTGTACACAGCTCAACATCGAAATTTGAGCCTTTGTCCAGAATTATCTGCGTTTCAATGTTCAGATTACGATAAGATAAGCTTTCTCTGTGATATATAGAAAATACACATATAGTGAGGAAAATTCCTAGTTTGAAGTATTTTTAAAGGAATTAAGTGGTTTTCGTACATTTCTAGTACCTGTACTAGAAGCTATTTACATATATTCAAGACTAAAATCAACCCCCCAATATTGGTTCATCTAGTTGTATGATCTCATGATTTTGACAGATGTAATAGTGGCAAGTATGGCTCGCGAAGCAGAAGATGCTTTCGGAACACCTCATGCCATACTTTGGACGAGATTTTGATGAACAGAATTGTATTTACAGATTATTATTAGTCAATACTTGTAAAACAGTCAAAAATATGACGTAACTGCTAATGGATGCTAAATAATGACCTAAATTAGAAGACCAAATCTGACATGAGTGCTGAAAATTGGTTTCCTTCTTTTGATTAAAGTACAAATATAGGTGTTTGATTTGAGTTTTGAATAACATTAGCTTTGATAAACAGATCATAGTGTTTTCTTACAGGAGATAATGCAGTTTTACAACAAGTTTTAAATGAACAGCTCACAGAACATGGAACTTTACTCCATTATACGACAAAGGTAGGCTTTTATTTCTTAATATTCGGGTAGTCAAAATGAATCAAAAGGCATACCGGTGCATGGATCACTATAATTCCTCCAAACAATATCCTTGATATTATTGTTATTATTATTTAAAAATGCTGATATAATCAGAGCTCTGTTATCTCTGATGTTCAACTATGTTATTATACTTGCTGGTGGGAAAAGCTCATATAATTAGAGCTCTGTTATCTCTCATGTTGAACTATGTTGTTATAATTGCTGTTGATAAAAGCTAATATCATCAGTGCTCTGTTATCTGTCAAGTTATACTCTATAATTGTTAATTTATTTGGAAAAAGCTCTGTTCTGTTATCTGTGATTTTGAACTATGTTTTTGTCTTTTTAGTCGGAAAAAGCTGATATTATCAGAGCTCTGTTATCTGTGTTGTTAAACTATGTTATTGTCATTTTATTGGGAAAGGTAGATATTATCAGAGCTCTGTTATCTGTGTTGTTAAACTATGTTATTGTTAATTTAGTTGGGAAAGGCTGATATTATCAGAGCCCTGTTATCTGTGTTGTTAAACTATGTTATTGTTATTTTAGTTGGGAAAGGCTGATATTATCAGAGCTCTGTTATCTGGTGGAGCTGATCCAGGTATTCAGAATAAGGAAAGGAAACTACCACTAGAATTAGGAACTAAAGATATTGTTTCTGTTTACAATGAAGAACTATTGCAGGCAACAGCTCAATCTAAGTATGTTGTTATATTACTCTTCTTTGGTTACATCTAGTTATGGTCTAGTTGTTCAGATTAGACTATAAAAAGGCTGCATATGTTAAAGCCTGTGAGGTTGAAAAGAGCTGTGATCGATAAAGAATAGTCTTTAGTCTTTCCAGACTAAATGTATTTCATGAACACTGCATGGCATCGATCGTTAGCATCCGAGTTGGGAGCAAAATGTAGGATAAAGATTCCATTGTGCTTCATTTCATGGATGTATAGTCATTCATGTCTCCTCATAATTATAAATGTAAAAAGAGCATGCAGGCTATCACTTAAATACAGGAAATTTCCTTCATTGTATACTGCATAAATCTTAATCATTATGGACATGTAGTGGAAATTCAGATTTGCAGAAACTAGAAAAATCATACAAATTTCATTCTGACATTTTATACAAAACCAGCAGAATCATCGACCTTATTCTCTTGCAATTAGAAATCAATTTGTTTTCTGCCTTCAGTTTAGGAAGAGTTTGTCAGTTGGTAGCTGCTGGTGTTGATGTTAACCTAGTAGACAGTAATGAAAGTAAAAATACTCCACTACATTGGGCTGTCAGTTATGCCAATAGAGATATGGTGCAGTGTCTTTGTTGTAAGTTTTTATAGTTTATGTAGCAGATGTATGTAAATCTTTATAATAATAAAGGCTTTAAACAACTATATTATTTATATTACAGCTAGAGGAGCCAATGTAAATGTTTATAATAATAAAGGCTTTAAACAACTATATTATTTATATTACAGCTAGAGGAGCCAATGTAAATGTTTATAATAATAAAAGCTTAAAACAACCATGTTATTTATATTACAGCTAGAGGAGCCAATGTAAATGTTTATAATAATGAAGGCTATAAACAACTATATTATTTATATTACAGCCAGAGGAGCCAATGTAGATGTTTATAATAATAAAGGCTTTAAACAACTATATTATTTATATTACAGCTAGAGGAGCCAATGTAAATGTTTATAATAATAAAAGCTTTAAACAACCATGTTATTTATATTACAGCTAGAGGAGCCAATGTAGATGTTTATAATAATAAAGGCTTTAAACAACTATATTATTTATATTACAGCTAGAGGAGCCAATGTAGATGTTTATAATAATAAAGGCTTTAAACAACTATATTATTTATATTACAGCTAGAGGAGCCAATGTAGATGGTTATAATAATAAAGGCTTTAAACAACTATATTATTTATATTACAGCTAGAGGAGCCAATGTAGATGTTTATAATAATAAAGGCTTTAAACAACTATATTATTTATATTACAGCTAGAGGAGCCAATGTAAATGTTTATAATAATAAAGGCTTTAAACAACTATATTATTTATATTACAGCTAGAGGAGCCAATGTAAATGTTTATAATAATAAAAGCTTAAAACAACCATGTTATTTATATTACAGCTAGAGGAGCCAATGTAAATGTTTATAATAATGAAGGCTATAAACAACTATATTATTTATATTACAGCCAGAGGAGCCAATGTAAATGTTTATAATAATAAAGGCTTTAAACAACCATGTTATTTATATTACAGCTAGAGGAGCCAATGTAAATGTTTATAATAGTAAAGGCTTTAAACAACCATGTTATTTATATTACAGCTAGAGGAGCC